TTAGGTCACCCTTCACGATTACCGCTATGAGGGTCTTGTTCTTGCAGCCTATGTCTAACGCACCATAAAGCATGATCTCGCACGCTTACACCAACCATACCCCTCATGGAGGGCCTGGATTGGGAGCTAGTCATTTTACTGCATGGAATGAAATAATTCCCCCTCCCCAAGAGCTGAAGCTTCCTACTTGATCTAGAGTTTCGCCAGCGAGAGCCTTTGCCAAATACCTCTTGGGTCCCGGTAGCAAGTAGCTGGAACCTGTGGCCTCATGTTTCTAAGCTCTGAATGACAGCGTTAATCTTGCGAGCAATCGAGCCGTGAGCATGAGAGTAAATTGGATTCAAGAACACATCACTCATCGCCCACCGCTAACTGAGTGCCTCCTTGGTCACGGGAGTCCTCCATGCTTTTTATTCAGTTCAGCCACTGCTTTGGCCTGCGAACGCCAGAGCCTGCCGTCAACAGAAAAGACCTTGCCTAAGCATTCCCCGCATTCAAGGCCTCCAGGTTTGATGCCCGTCCAAGGGGTTGGTTTGAATGGGAATAGCCTTGCCCCACCAGAGCAAATCTTTCCAACTAAATCTACGACCCTCAAAGGGCATGGAGGAGTGTCAAGGAGAGGCACTGAGCCTACAACAGGCTTCCAAAGTTACATCAATGCAATCAGTACTGTTAAATGTTTAGGGGGTTGTCGTTACGAGATCTTGAAGAGAGATGGCTACAAAAAGGAATGAGTCAAGTTCTCCAGGGTACACTAGAAGCTATGAGGTTGGGATGGAGATGGAAGAAAAAAAAAACCATTCTCATTGCAATAAAAATTCCAAAAACACAAAAAAAAGAAAACAGGGATAGTGGGAAATAAAGAAAATAACAGACTTCCAAGGAATCAGGAAGTGGAAAAGAAACTAAGGAAAAGGTTTGGGTGGTTATGATGATTGAAATTCATCTTGGAAGATCAAGTGGGGGCAATGAGGCATCTCAGGTCACACAAAGCCAACTCCAGAAGTGACTCAGGCTCTATACTAAATAAAATGAGATGGACGTCCTTCATAAAAAGAAATGGGTCATTTTTATGAAGGTGGAGTATTGCCAAATTCATTCTGGTCAATCAATGAATACTCCTGAATGTGAACATCCATGTCTTGCCCTTGCCCTTGTGTCTTCAATGGTGATTTATGATGAAATTGATTAAAACATTACAAATAAAATATAGTGCATATTTGGTACTTTCATATCCAGTATTGGTGAGTGTTTATTAGAGATTTATTCACCAATGAAAACATGCAAAAAAGATGCTGTTCAGCAAATGAGAGGCTTCCTTCATGTCCTTGTCAATGAATTTGGATCCATCAGGCTATCTTGAGTACTTGAATGGCAATATTACACTGAAGCCAATATAAAGTGTAATACTCCTATAATGGTATTCAGTAGACCCAAGTTATGTAGAGACTGTGAAAATGAAGATGTGTCTGGTGAGTTAGGTGAGGTTGATGTGTGATTCCAACCTGCTGTGCATGAATATTGACTAGAAAACGCCCATAAATCAAAACACCAAGAGGAATTTCCACATTAATGTAGCTGAATAATCTGAATATTCCAGCCTCTAAGATGCCTCTTCTTCATCAAGATGCCCTGCCACTTGTCATAGACCCAGGCCGTCAAAGACTTCTAGTTCTTCTTGTATGTTACATCTGCTGGCAAGCTTTTTTATCAAGTTATCAAAAATGTGTGATCCTCAATATCCGCTAGGAATCAGAATGAAATAATGATAAAAATCCCCATGCACAATCACTTTCTGAGCTGGCCTGCTGATGCATACCAAAGGAATAAAACCCCTGTGGGTAAGCAGGAGGACTGCGCTATGAGGCTGAATTTCGGCATCCTCATAAAGTTCATTGTACCATGTCTGAAAAGTTTCAGGGGGGAAGTCCAGACAAAATCCATTAGCTTCTGTATATTTACCTCAAAGTTAATCTTGGTATCCCTATGTTATCTCCAATGTGAACAATGTGCGCGAAGAAAAAAAGTGTTTTCAAGTCTCCTAATTTCTAAGCTAGATCATTTCGCTTGGTTTGAATTGAAGATACGATGGCTTCGGGGCAATGAAATTATTTTTGGGGGGTGAAAAAGGGACATTTTTCTTCAGAGGCAGTAGTATAAATCGCGGTCGATTGGGCTGGATGAGTATGGACTTGACGGTTAGATGACGTAAGCCGAAGGGCAGCTGAGTATGTGTTTACGTTTGTTGACCGCCTGCCGAGTATTCAGGCTCAGTCTGACTCGATCACTGTCAGTTCTGTTGACCAACAACACTTCACAACCCATCGGAGCTCAAGAACCACCAGTCAACGGACCGACACTCGAGCAAGCATCCCAGAAAGAAGAAGAACTGTTCAATCCGAATTTCCTGCCATCCATCGATTTATCGAGCAAATCGAGCACTGATTATGAGTGCAGTAAGCATCCTCCTGCCCTTCTTTGCTGCTACCCTGGGCGGCAAACCAGCTCATCAATCGATAATCTAACTCTTACCCGTACCCAAAAACAGGAAGCATGGCTATTCCTATTCGCCGTCGTCTTGGCCGCCGTATTACTGTTTACAGCTGTTTTCTATGTAAGCACTGGGGCAAAATTATGTATGATTATTGAAAAGTGGAGAGTTCATGTCGGGTTTCTGATCCACAACACGATTTAATTTGATTGTAATTCCCGCCATCGTAGATCATCATGTTCTCGGATTTGGAATGTATGTGATCGAACTCGTTGCCAGCTTTTCTATCCTCTTATTCTTGTCTTCGCGCAAAACGATTGAGAACTTGTCGATCATTCGAGGTTGGTCACTGACTATCGCATGTTAATTATTTTACAATAGGCGATTACTTGAATCCAATCGATCTCTGTAATAAGATGAATCAAGTCAGTTGCTTTGCTTCCAACCTCGGTTCCGACCCAATGTCGAGTAGGAATTCTGATGGCACTGTCGATTTTCGCCGTAGTTCGTACTACCCGAGATGGGTGCACATATGTTTCTAGTTCTCCTATTTGTTCTAAGTTTTCAGCTCGTAGCTACCCTCATCAACGTCCCTCTGGTCGCTTGGAACGTCAACAAGTTGAGTGGCTTCAAGAAGCATCTTCCCCACATGGTCTCCAATCTCCTACTCTAAAAACGTGTCTCTTTACATGCATTCTGATCTGTGACTCAATATAAATCTTGCGCCGATCATTCAGAGTGATGAAAAAAACGCACATGTATGACGCGACTGAAATATTTCGAACACTAGCGCAGCACAAAAAGGAATCTTTCTTCAAACTAGGGTTCTATTTATTATCTTTCTTCTACTACCTATTCCGGTCAGTCATCTCTTTTTCATATATATATTTTTTCCCATTCGGGCCCTATTTCAGAGGCGCGTCAACATGTTTAAAAGAGTCTCACTGACCTTTGTTATTTTCTTACATCCAATCAACTGGAAAAACTCGGCAATCCCGTGGCGGTTAACGACACAATTTTTTTACGTTTGGTTTTGTATCATGTCACATCAACAGGATGATTGCTGCGCTAGTGGCAGACGAAGTCTAAAACAAAATGAGAAAAAAATGAAAAAATGAAAACATCCAAAAAAATGTTTGCAATCTATAATATACTAAGTCGACACATTGATGAAATACATTGCCCGCTTCTTTCTTTCTTTGTCTCCCCCTCTGTCCTGCCACTTTGTGCACAATATATCAAGCAAAGAAGGGGAAAAAATATCTTTTGACTAGACTCCTATTGAGCACGAATCCCACCGCTCAAAATCGCCAGAGCAAGCTTGAAGATTTAGCACTATAAAAACATTTGTCGTTACGACATTCTCATTGATTCTAATGTGTATTTATATCTCTGAAGGATTGTATCCTTGTTGTTCCTTTTCGATGGTTGCCAAACAGCATATTTAGAAGGGGTCACAGATTGCCTGCACTTTCTGGCTTTACAAGGGAATGCAAATCAGTGCAACCTCATTGTTCCTGGTCCGCCCCTCATCCACATGGTGAAACTTGAAATTTTTAGATTTTTTTTGGTTGGAGAGCTAATCTGGTGGCTTTCTGTGGCCAAAACTGCGTCCATCAAAAATGTAGGAGGAGGTATCAACAGCTTGGTAAATACCCATGTTCGCACAAGTTGAGTTGGATTCCAGAACAACAAAGAGTGCCTCCCTCCTCCTGTTTTTCAGCCGAAACTTAGGATGGATCCAGCATGGACACTCTGAGAGTGCTCTGAGGCTCCTATTGCTGATAGTCGCTTGATCCTTTTCAATTTGTTTGCCTTCACATCGACAAACTCACGGCACCATGGAGAGACTTTTTTTTTTCTGCAAAAGCTAGTTTTCTTTTGTGTTGAAATAGGACATGGTAGTTGATAGAGAAGTATTTATGTAAATGGAGAGAGTAACAGAAGGGAGCATGAAGCACCGGTCATCAGTTCCTGGCTATAAAACTGTATCATTCATGCCATCCAATATGTGACATACCAGTAGCCATTTCTTTTACAAACAATGAGGTTATGGCTGCTTGTTGATACACTCATAGAGGGTATGGTGGATCGGGCTCTGTGGTGCAGGACCAGGGAAGAAAATTGGTGAAGAACAGATCCTTACAATTTTCTCCTCAAATTTCTTCCTTCAACATCACCACACGACATGCCCCGAAAACAAAAATGTTGGTGATTGCCGTTGCGTGACCAGTCAAGCCACCATCTTCCGTTCTGCCAAGTCACGGGTCAAAAGTTATTTTCAATATTATCACCTCCTTCGGCTGCCACAGCCTCTTGGGTCATACCATCTGGCTAGACAGTCAGGAGTGTACTCCACTAGAAAATGGCAATTCTGCTACCCAGGCAGGCCCATCTGCTCCTCATGCCCCAATTTAACCGCATGAAGACTTCAAAAAGGTAGTGCTCCCTCTCAGCAGCTCTCGGGGTCACAGGGTGCAAGCCTGGTTAAGCGCCACAAAAGTAAGCGCGACACCAACGCGATTCGAACGCGCGCGGGTAAACCCACTTCCTTAGCAGGGAAGCGCCTTAACCACTCGGCCATAGTGCCTTCATATGCACGGTATTGGTAAATTGTGGCACACACACCATACAGTTGTTGCTGATGAATATGCATTGTCAGGCTGCGTCAGCAGAATCAACAGCTAGTGCATATGCAACAACATATCTCCCACATCTCATGGTAGGTACTGCACACCTTGATTTATATCCATCACCGTTATCTCGATGTGCAAGTCATCATCAACACACAATGGCTTCAGATCACTCTTGTACTCACCCTCCTTACTCAAAAAAATCTCATGGCACTTACTCATTACACAAACAAAAAGCAACAAGGACACATCATACCCACATAAGATAAATAGACACCACATTTTGCGGCTTCAACTCCACAAACAGACCCCTTCCAATTCCTGTACTTCTCCCACCTTTATATTTATATTGGTGCTTACAATTCCCACCAACATCTTCCTCGTCTGAGGGCATCTCCACTGCGGGAGCTAAGCCCGTATTGAGCTCCCCGCAGCCCATGTTGCAATACCACTTCCTGTGCTAAACCGGGAGTTCAAGTACATCCCGGCCTCTTGGGAGCTATAGCATAGCTAAATGTAGCATTCCACAGCCTTTTTTTTGATAGTTTACTGATGGCCAAACCCCTTTCACAGACTTACTTATTTGTTCACATCAAAATACTCTGTGGAATTGTGAAGCAAGACTCAGTCCCCAAGCCCCCAAAATTAAACACACTTCAAGTATTTTACAATCAATTTCAGACAAAGTAGCAAATTGAGGAAGCCTTCAGAGGAACCACTAGAACTAGCTACCTCAATTTAATGAAAGTTTTCATGTTTCCCCAAAATATTAAGGGTGGCCACATCAAATTTGGAAAGTCGGTGATCAACCTCACAAGCAACTTTGTCAGATATACTCAAGATCTCTTGTCCCAATTAGGCCTTTACGTTTGGTGCCCCAACTTTGAGGAGGAATTCACCTCATTTTATAATGTGGCACATTGCATAGCCTACAATTACTTCCAGGTCAATCTGGAAATGGAAACAGACATGAGTATGTTGATTTCAGCCTACAATCATGTTTCTCACTATCTCCAACTCAAAATATACAAAAATTATCAGAAATAAAATGGTAAGGTTGTCCAAGATGCAGTCAATAAGAAGATCTGAAAACATCAAGAAATTTTATGTCTCTTTGTTTGAGTAAAACTAACTGAGAATTCTACTGACTTGTATTTCATTTAATAGTTGAGGGATGAAAAAATGACTTTTCCATTCTCAAACAGCTCCCCCATATTGTGATGTTTTGGAGCAGATCTCTGCACACAGTGATGAAAAGCAATTCCCTTCAAATATATTCTACATGATAAAGACCTTGCCTCGTTCAAAAGAAAAAAAAATCAGTTCTTTTGGAATTTGGATGCTGTCATGTTGGAGGAAGCTGAGGCAGGTACACTAGCTTAACCTACATTCCACAGGATTTGAAGATGCCCCAAGAAGGGTCCTGGAAGTTCCTCCAAAGTTCCACTGAATCCTTTTTTTTCCACAATCTGAGAGACACCCAGACAAAAAACTGTTGAACTCAACTTTAACCAGAAAGTGTTGGGAGGTCTTGGCAAAACCATATGGCCTTGTGGGGGACAAATCATATTCTGGCAAGGAGACTGAAGAAAACCATGATGATGAGAAAGGCAAAGAATGCAAGGGGATTGATTTGACCAAACCAAACCCTGAAAATTCTGATAATGAATATTATGATGAGGGTGCAGCTGAAAATTTCTATGATGAAAAAGAGGAAAAATATTTTGTTGATTCTCAAGAAGAATCCCAGTAGGATAGCAAATAAGTCTGATTTGTGTTAGTTGAAGCCTCTTGTCTAAATCAATTACTTCTTGTCTCTTGAATTTTCTCAGCTTACCAAGATGAATTCACACCTCTTCTTGTCTTTGTTATGGTCAAGGTTAAGAATGAAGATTGCTAACTGGGGGATGTACAAAGGTGCGGAGGCTGGAGATAATCCCCCAGTTGGGAAACCCCTGGCAAGTCC